AGTGTTCCAGCCCAGGTTGGACCTGGGCTAGTGGAAGGTGTCCCTGCCCATGGTCCCTTCCAACCCAAACCATTCCATGATTCTGTGATCCCTTCAGCTTGCAGCTGCTATCAGTTCCTCTGTATTTCCCCCTCAATGTGGTGCTCCAAGCCCCAGGGCAGCAGTGGGGCAGGTCCTGGCTCCTCCTGCCTCTGTCCTGGAGCTGGGATGGAACCTGGGAAGCTCCAGCACCACCTCAGCATCCCCCACCCCTGCCCAGGCTCCCCCCCAGAGCCTGTATCAATCTCCCAAATGGGGCAGGAATTAAAGTGCCAAGTGAAGGAGCTGATTCAGCACAGAGGAAGAGGTGAAGGTAAAAAGTTCAAATAAAAAAATAATGGGCTATTAGATGATCTCACTGGCAATGTGTTTTAGCTAACGTGCTGGGAATGGCAGCAGGTGCTGGAAAAGTCACACCTTAGCCCTGTTCTCAGCCACCTGCACAGGCCTTCGAGTACTGGATGGTGCAGTATTAACCTGCAGGGTGCCATCCTGTGCCCTGGGGGGTGGCTGGTCCTGCTCCTCCCACCATGTCCCCCCTCAGCAGGTCACCTGCTGCCATTCAGGGGTGCTGGGAGGTGGCACCAGGGAGTGCCTGTGGTGCCCAAAGCATTCTGCTCATGTGTGCAGCAAGCAAAGTCCTCACGTGGTGACATCGGTGTGGTGAGACCAGAGCCACAGCCAGTGGGGACAGGGACCTGTCCCCCACTGCCACCAGCCCCTTCTCACCCCTCCTTTGGCTGCTTTGGACCTGGGATCAGTGCTGATCCTGAGCACCTCTGCCACTCCACTCCCTACCTTGGATTCTCCCAAGTGGCAGCAGGACATGCCTGTGTCCCCATTGAGGCCCTGTGCCCCCAAAGGATAGTGCAACGGGGGCTGTGACTCCACAGACATGTGTGTCCCTGTCCCCAGCCCTCAACCTGGGCAAGGTGAGTGACACTCGTGTCCCTGCAGGGCCTGGGGTCCTGTGCACCCTCCAGCACCAGTGAGAGCAGAACTGGATGCAGGGGAGCAGAGGCTGGTGATGGGCAAGAAACGGGGTCAGTACCAGTGACCTGTCACCTCCCCAGGGCCTGGGCCAGCTGGGAGCAGAGGAGGAGGAGGGTGGAAGGAGCAGAAAGGAGGGCAGCAGTGCCTGGTTGTGTAGGTTTGGGGAGGGGAGTTTTGGGTGCTGAGGGCATCACTCGCTCCTGCCACCACCTCCAGAACTATTTGGAACATGAATGGGAGCCTGGGGAGGTGCTGTCGGGAGGCCAAGGGCTGCACGTGGGGCTGTTCCCAGGCTGAGAAACAACCTCTGTCCTGCAGGGAAACACCTCTAAGTTATTATTATTGTGTTCTCCAAACAAACAGGGCTTTGTAGCTGCTCAGCAGGTCGGAATGGAGCACCCAGAGCCGCTCGGCCCTCGAGGAAAGGGATAAAACAGGCTCAGAGGTTTAACTGCCCTGTGAGTGGAGGGTTTGCCTTGGGGCTGCTCCCACCAGGGGCTTCTGGACGTGGGCTGGGGGCAAGGTGGGACCCCAGGGGCTTCTGCACGTGGACTGGACTGGGGCTGGGACACACATGGCAGTGCCTGGACTGGGGACAAGCTGGGACAGCCATTGTGGCGCCCCAGGAGCATCCTCTGCCCTGGCCTCCCGGCGCTCACTTAATTGCACAGGGGGTTCAGCTAATTGCAGGGGACGATTGATTGGTAAAATGTCATCTTCCCTGGCCGCTGTTGCCAGGGTGACCTCGCCGCTCTGCGCTGCTGTTATGGATTCCTGGGTGCCTGAAGCCACTCACTGTGTGTCCCCGTGGTGGGGACACAAGGACAGGGTGTGGAAATGCCTTTTCTTCCTCCAGATCTGGCCTGTTGCTGCTGGAAGTGGTGAGTGGCTGTGGAAACTGGAGGACACAGAGGTTTG